GTGGTACATTCCCAAACGTTTCGCCGGCATCTTCAGTGAGTATCGCCATTCTTAGCACCACACAACAACTGGTCTTGTCTCTTTGACGAGTTTTTGTGTGGTGCTAAGAATGGCGATACTCACTGACGATGCCGGCGAAACGTTTGGGAATGTACCACGTCTACGGTTCAACTTTGGAAATGATCATGCAGCCAATGGACCCCGGACTAGGTAAGTTCCAATAAGTCTTCCTACCAATATGACCATGTTGCGAAAACAAGGTCGAACAACTTTTAAATAATTTTTAGCTTTTAACTATTTCGACACAATTAAAAATTGACTCATACGCTTAGAAGAATGGAGTTTTGCAATTTATTGTCACAATTATTTGCATTCTAATTTTAATACACATACTGGATAAGAAATAATAATTTAAACTCGTTTTTGTAATTATGCATCTACATTTACTATTTTTCATGGTCAGCCTGGAGTTCATCAATGATAAGTTTAGAATTTGCTGCAACTTGATTGATATTTTTCGTATATAAGCAGAGTCTCGAGACTACCATCTCATAAGCATTTCATATAATTGACAGTTTTTTCACTTAATTAATAAAATGCATTGCGATTGCTAAAACACCTTTTGTTCCTAGGCTTTTGGTGCCGTCTCTGCCATGTCAGACCGAAACTGCATCTACTCAAGTGGCAGATATACCGAGGAGCTTAGCAGAGAAGATATGCTTTCTTGCTGTGGTCGTTTCTGCGGCCTCGGCTGTGAAGGTGGATACCCATCTCGAACATGGAAATACTGGATAGAATCTGGCATTGTAACCGGAGGAGCGTATCAAGCCGAAGACAGCTGCAAGCCTTACGAGTTTCCGCCATGTAGCCACCACGTCAACAGCACATACCCACCTTGCGGAGCACTGTATCCGACACCAAAATGCGTGAAAACTTGCCAGACGGACTATGGCAAGTCCTACACAAAAGATCTGCACTCTGGTGAGATTACACTAAAGATACCCAAAACATGTTATTCTTGATGCATTCTATGACATAGAGTACTTATCTATGCGTCTCTGATTTTTCTAGTCAGGTTATTTTTCGAATGCACGAATCCCAAATACCTTGTAGATAAGAAGAGTTAATCTCATTAGAATACGTCGCATTCCTGTCAGACTGCAGTTATATATATATATATAGCAAACAAAAAGATATTCGGTAGCATATAATATTTTGCAGAAGCACGGTTTATATCGTTTATGTTCAGAGCTAAACATCACTCCTTAGATTCTCTTCCAAGCCAATAATTTGAGTGCCTTATTATGAAATGACTTTTCCTTTTGAAGGAAAAGTTGGTTGGAATAATTCGTGAAGTGTTCTCACTGGAAATCGAAGGATGATTGTAGGAGAGTTAAGACTGTTGGAGTGTGCGAATAAGTCCTCGGCTCAACGTCCTGCGACCCCAACAGTCTTAACTCTGTGGCAATTCTCCTACGATTCCCGATTAGCCCATTTCAAAAATTCATTTTATCCAACTGGTCCTTCGAAATTGAAAGTCATGAGACAATACATCATTAAGGAATCCTTCGAAACCCAGTTTCTTTTAATATCTTCGAATGCCTTATTGTCGCACTCAAAAAATTACTACGTTAAGACAATACATCTGAGTCATTGGCATAATCAAGAGGATAGTTCGTAGTTTATCCATGTAGAAGCTACTATTGACTAAATAGACTTATAGAAATTGCATTCTATGTAACTTTTCTATTTTCATAGGTTCATTGGTTTTTCAAGTTAAGGGTGAGGAGAAGATAATGATGGAGCTTATGAAAAATGGGCCCTTGGAAGCGGTATTTGACGTGTATGGCGACTTTATGAATTATAAATCTGGCGTCTATCAAGACGAGGCCGGTGAATACATAAATCCACATATAGTGAAGCTGATTGGTTGGGGCGTTGAGGAGAACACTAAATATTGGCTTTGGATTAACTCATGGAACAATGTATGGGGAGACAATGGGTTATTTAAAATCATCCGTGGTGTAGATAAGTGCAGAATCGAGAGTGATCAACTCGGTGGAGTGACTAAAGTTTAGGAGCAGCATGAAGTAGACGTATCATTCATTTCGAATATATTAACTCTATTCAAATATAATTACTATAGAAATACATAATTTTGTGAATTTGTGGTCCCTAAGGTACATAGAGAATATCCATCTTTAATGGAAAAGCATACTCTCGAGAATGCAATAACTTCATTTAGACATTTTAAATCAAAATATATGACAATTGAATACCTTTATTTTTTTTAATTTTGGTAACTTAATCGAAGTTAGTGAGGCAGATTTAGGTACATT